GGCCGCCAGCCGCCAGACCCGTTAGCTAGCTGTCAGGGGTGTAGTTGCCAGCTTACAGGTAAATTTGCCTTTCTCCAACATTTTTTTTTTTTTTTTGGAGTAGTCGTTGGATGTAGCGTTGCCAATTGTTCAAATTGCATGAGGTCTGCTTTTACCTTTTTCTTTATTTATTTTTTTTTTTTTTGCACCTTTCTGTCTGCGCCATTTTGCATATTTTCCGATTTTCAGCACACCAAAAATGGGCGTCATTTGTGCTTCACTTGACGTCGCTGCTCTAAACATATATACAGGATAGATGTGTATGTAGATTGATTTTCTTTCAGCCAAAGGTTTTCAATCGAATGTGCATTATCAATTATTTTCTTTTTAATTAGTTTTTTATGGTTATCGGAGTGAATACAAAAATTCTTAGATGTTGTGCTCAATAGTCTTCGATCTAGTCACGTCCGTCTGCCTATTCATCCGTTCATTAGTCTGTCTGTCAGTCCACCTGTCTATCTATCTTTGCGTCCATCCACTCATTAGTCTGTCTGAATGTTTGAACGCAAGAATCTCAGAACCTTTAAAAACCAGAAATTTTAAAAATGTGAACGTTGTTCATCCAAGTGCAGCATGAGTTTGTTTTCTATAGCCGATAACTTGCCCCGTTTCCGAGCATTCGAGGAAAACTTATATCGAAATCGTGTTTTATTTGAGCAAACTTGATATGAAGCTCCTTGAATAGTATATAATGCAATTTTATTCTATCGCACAATAAGATCTACTGCTAAAAATTTCAGGGTATCCCCAGCCTCTTATTTTCTTTTATAAAATTTAATGTTCAGTTCATAAGTGGAACCACAGTGCAATTTCTGGCTCAGGCTGCTTTGACTGCAATCCGATTGCTACCTTGACAGGTCTTATCCGACTTCAATGAAATATTTAAAAGAACTGCACAGCATGAATTCATACGTGCATAAAATATTTAGATACTATTTGATATTTGCCATATTATAAACTAAATATTTCTATCACATTTGTCTGTTTAGCTTGAAGCAATAAAAATGGCATATCGATTAAAGTCTTTTAATCAATTCTGAAGCTGGTTTTTCCTTTTGGGCGAGGACGCAATTACAACTAATTTACTGCCACCCCCCTGCGTATGCAATAAAATGAAATTAAATGCCATAAATCAATGCCAAATATGTTTTGCTAGCTTGCCCACAACTTGGAAGCGTTCATATTTATGGCACAGATATATACCAATACACACAACAGAGCTTATGGCTTGGCGCCTTGACCTTTGACCAGGCCATTGCCAGCAAACGGCAAACGCAGCTGGCTTACATTTTCAAAGCTTCTTGCCACTTAGTAAGCGCAAAGACCTTTGATGCCTATGTCATTAATAAATGAAAATATATAATCCTCTTTTTTATATTTTTTCCTTTATTCCTGATTTAAAGAAAAACCATACAATTTGTTTAAGTTAATGAGTTAACAATTTGAATTCAATTTTCAATCAATTTTTTTGAGTTTTGAACGAATACTTGATCAAGTTAAACAACTAGATATAACCTAAACTGTAGTCGTATCTGCAATGCAACCTGCAGATACTTTAAAAATAAACTTTAATTTAATTTAAATATATTTGATTATTAACACGATTACAAATATCTAACATTGGCAGGTTGAGCTAGTTATTTGTAGGGATTTACTTATATTAACACTTAAGATCGCAACAATTAACTATAAATTTATTGCTTGCATGAATTTTAATAATCCAGTCAGGGCACCGTTTGGGTGTTCACATTCTTGTCCCAGAAAGCTCAGCTTCAGTAATGGGTCACCTAGCGCTTCTCCTCACGGGATACAAAATAAACTTATTCACTGAAAAAAATATAATTTTTTTATTGCTCTGGACAGAGAATGTTGTAGCATAGTTTCTTATTAAATCGTCTCTTGCCATTGTGCGGGCTCCTTGAGGGGAAAAGCTTTTAAGAGCCTGAAATTCGATATGGTTCGTATTGTGCGAAGCTGTTGATTAAAGTCAAAGGTAGTTAAGAGTAGGTTAATGTGCATTTGACAGTTTACAGGATTCAATACCAACAACAACAATAACTCTTAAGCAATCTTTTATGGAAATGTTGCTCAATGGCTGTGTGTACAACAACAGATTGTTCAGCGAACAAAGATATAACAGCAACAAGGCAAGAGGAAAAAAAATCCAATCAAATTGAAGTAAGTGGTCAACGGCTTGTGGGTGACCCGTGGTCAGCACGCCGTCGCTCCAGTGCCAATAGCCGAAATGGAAACAACAACAAAGGCACGTGGGATGGGAAGAGGGCAAGCGTAAACATAAGAAACCATGTGGCGGGACCACCTGACCAGATCCAGCGCCTGGCCAAACGGCCAGTTCTATGCGGCAACGAAAATAGTCACAATAAAATGCCAACTGCCAATAAACGTCAATAAATCAAACAATTGAGCGGGGCCAAGTTTTGTGACGTCGTGCGCCAAATAAGTCCAACCAACGACGTGGTCCCAAACCGAGTTCCAAGCGGTATGAATGCTCAAAAAAACAAGAAGAAACCAAACGCAGCAAAGCATAAAAAAAAAATAAGTATTTTCACTCGACTCTACTCGCCACAGCCAGATCAAACTGAATAGCATGATATATATATACAAATGGACTATATTGGATCTGCAAATCCCATACAATTTTTCGTTGATTCGGTTCACGTTTAGTTTTGGTTCCACGCCCTCAGGTCCAGGTTTTGTTTTAAGCCTTCACTTGTCATATATTATTTATAATTGCCCGTTCTACTGAAAATATTGCAAGCCGTAGATATTTTCATATAGAAGTTGCGGGCTAGATTAGATATCTAGCCAACATTGGCATCTATCAAATATGATTAGATAAATCCAATGGTTGATAAGTTTTTTATTTTCAGCATAAACATTTTTTAAATAAATATGGTTTGACTCATGTTTCGATTGGACTTGATTAAAAGTTCAGGTTATATTAAGAGATATATTAGAATTATGGAATCGAGAACCGGGTCGGCTATTTATAAGTTTTGATATTAATCGATTATTTGAAAAATTTGTGATTCGACACACTTGGCCAGCTAGCAAAATATTTCATGAAACTGAAAGTATCTGTTTTTCGAATTATTGAAGAGCTAGAATTATGAGAATTAAACATAAATAAAATGCTTCCAGTTGTTTATAATTTATTTTCTGTATTGTTGAGTTTCTTGTAACTACTTAAATATATTCTTCACATAGAAGATTTTCTGCGATCGACATGGAATTTATAATTAACAATTTGGGCTTTATTATTGAGAATATCAACTGAAAAATTTCAAATGAACCTTGGAACTACGGTTTGGACTGAGAATTTGGTCGCCGTTATTGGGATCAGCCTTTTTGTCAGACTTTGACGATTTGGGATGTGAGTGAACATTTTTAGTTGCTGTGTTTAATATTGAGTGGGTATTTGCATTGTGTGAAGGACTGACATCCAAAAGGACAATATATGTGTGCTATGTCTGTAGTATATTTGTTTTGGTTGGGGTATGGTTATTTTTAGTTAAAGGCGGCCATTGGCCACACTCTAGCGCGTATAGATTGTCTTGACCAAAGATCCCTGCTTGGCCATGGTGTCCTTGTGTAGTTGATACTGCAGCACGTAAGCGCTCTCCATGCGCAGGCCATCGCGCAGCTTGCCACCGATCTCAAGGGCAGCTGCCTCATTGCCGCCATTGGCTGTCCATATGGAGATCTTATTGTTTTTGCCACGTATATTGACAACAGCGCCGCACAGCTCGTGCGAATATTCACAGCTCTCGCCGATTAAAACAAGCATTGTGTCCAGCCAGAAGTTATCCAAATCATTCTTATTCCCTTTGTTCAAAGTGATTACCCAGCGTCCGCCCTTCACATTGGCCTCATCCTCCCACATTGGGCGTATTCCTTTCTTGAACAGACAATAGTCGCTGCCCATTTTAATCTCCGATGGCGTCTTTATATGATTTATGAGGCTCCAGAAGTTCTCGACCGTATTAAAGCTGGCCACCTCGTGCAGCATTTCCTCCCAGCTCTTACTACGATCAGTTTCCAAATACCACAGCGTCCATTCACTGTTAAGAGGATGATGCGGCTCCGTTGGTAATTGTTCCGTTTCACTGCCACCAGCCACACCAAAGGTGACCGTATCCGAGACAGCTGTATCGCCGGGCGCCAATGGCGTCATATAACCACCATCTGTGGTGCATCCACTCAAATCGGAGCGTGGAGTCGATAGCGGTGAGCAAACGCTGCTGCCACCGCTGCAGCATGTTGCATTCATGACACTCTTATAGCTGGCGCTGCTGCTGCTGCCGCTGCCACTGCGTCCGCTGGCCGAGCTCGGCTTGTTGGCCTTCTTGGTAGGGGAGCAGCTTTGCACTGGCGTCGTGGAGAACTCTTCGTTGTTGGAGCACGACTTGAACATGGTCTTTGGATTGGCAAAGTTTTTCATCTTGTAAAAGTTAGACGGATACATAATGCACGCTTACGTTGAACTCTATGGAGACAAGGACAAACAGATTGATTACACTATACAAGATATCAATATATTGATGGGCTTGCCTTTGCCTGCGAATAACTTGATCTCAATTGCCGTTTTTGTGTTCCTCTGTACTTTGCTCCAAATTCAAATTTGTTGCTTTTGATTTTAGGATTATCACAACATGCGAACGATGTTATTTCTGTTCTAGAACGCAAACTGTATGACTGATTTATCAGGCGCCGCATACTCAACATTCTGAATTCCGTCGAATACCATATCAATTGAAGCTAACAGCCTGCATGCCCTTCTCAACACTGTCTACGCGCCAACGTTCCATAAGTGCTGTGTAAGGTGATGCAATTCGAATCTAGTCTGGGCACACTTAAAACAAATTAGTTATGCGAGCTTTTTATTGTTGCAAGACGCGTGCTCTTCGTGGAAAATTAGCGTGTTTAGTTAAATGAACATGATGTCAGGGCTGGATAATGAATTCTTTGGCTTTACCCTCACTGCTAAAAACAATATTTTCACCTGGGACTCGGATTCCAGAACGGAATCATGGGGCCATAAGCTTTTAATCAAGCAGATATTGCTCGATGACAAAGCTAAGGATGATGAGTACAATGTGGTCAATGTTGACTCTCTCGTGGAGGAAGTTCGTCTGCCAATTGCTGTGCTTAGGGCTGGCGAGTTGCGGGTCATCCATCCAAATCTCGAGTTTTACGAGTCAAGGGTTACCTTCACACTGAGCACGGGCAGCGGTCCCGTGCATATTTACGGCCAAAACATTAAGGATAATTTGAAACTGATTTATATCAGGGGGGCAAAATAATGATCCTAGATACAAAAGTTCCCGCCGCTCTAACCAAATCTAAGCAGCAATTCAGCTAGACCAGATCATTTAACGAGCTTTTAAAATGCATAAAAAAAAGTATTGCATATCAAAAATAAACCAAATGTAGGTCAATGTTAAATCCACATGTTTATTATTAAAAAATCCTTGCGATATAAACACATCGCTGCTTAGATATACATACATAGGCGTTATTCGTTGAAAACAAGGTAATCCATTCTTATTACAGTTCTCTAAACTTATGCCAAGTGCTAGAACTGTTAAGTCCGCCCAGCCCTGCACGAAAAGTGTTGCAAAAAGTTGGCTGCGTGTTAGTTATTTTAAAGTGTAATAAGCTTTTTTTTATTTATGTGTATCATTTTAAAATCATGCTTAAATAATTATACCCCAACAAAAGACGAACGAAAACAAACGTGAGCTCATTGAACGCAGCGTAAGCGCTTTTTTTGTTTTGTTCAAATTGATGCTGGAAAATTGCAAAAAAGCCGTAACTAAGTAAAATCGAACACGTAAGAGTGTTTTGGTTAAGATTGCTAAACATGTAAATACCCCGTACCCGATGCAGAGAACATACATATTTATAATTTTGAAACTAACTCGCCTTAATGAGTATTTAAATGCTGTATTTTCGAGTCGAACGTTTCTTCTTCTTTGCTTCTCAAATTGAAAGTTTATGAAATGGCTTAAACGAAAATAGAAACGTGTATATTCTCGAATTGTGAGTGGGATATAGAGTACTGGCCAAAGCCCAATTTCAATTCCAATCGCACGCAAAACTTGACGAGTTTCAAAATAAATATTTACACACACCCTCACGCACACACATCAGGACGACAGTGGCAACACACACACACACACACACACACACACACAGACACAGCACACTCAACACACTTGGCCAACACGCTGGAGCAACACTTCACGCATTTCTTATTAGCTGCACTTCAAAAACTGTGCAAAGTTGCGCTCCAAACTTATTATGGCACTCGGTTGGACCTAAAAAAAGAAACGGATGAAAAGGCAAACGGAAGGAAATGGCCATGGGGATGGGGATGGGGATAAGGAGTGCCAACTTTAACTAATGGCAACATTTTTGTTTGCTCATGTCGAGTGTTATTGAGCCAAAGCAAAAGAGCAAACTTTCATTTGGCTCCGGCTGTCATAAGTTTAAATGGGGTTATTGGGCGAACAAGGAAAATCAACAACAACATCCAAACCAGTCGCAGCAGCAGCACGAGCAGCAGCAGGATAAATGAAAAATGTCAAAGTCCAAGGCATGGCAACAAATCGTAGGACATGGCTGGCAAATATTTGTGCAGTGGCCAAATGGAAAAGCGAATCTGGTGATGGTAAATTTCAACATTTCGAAACTTTTTGCAGCGTTGTCCCAAAAAGTCAACAGCCTCATATTAAGCATTGCCTACATTCTGGATTATTTCAATTTATTATGCATTAACATTTTATATTTTCTTAAGCTAAATTAAGATTTCACGTTTTAACCGAAGTCGCAACGAGGTCGCAAACAAAAACAGCCTTGCGGAAGTCTCTATTTTGTTCGCAAGTCAGTTAGAAAGTAGGGGTAGTCCCTTAGCAAGTGCTGTAAAACGATACATTTTTGAAAAAGTGTGACAGCTTTCCTTTTAGTTCAGGCTGCCATCTCTAACAAGTCCCATGGGTCAACGGTGCGTAATTTTCAAAAGAGGTTTATTAATATTTCCAATTTCAATGCAACAAAATCAGCTGTTCTTGGAACATTCCTTGCCGTGGCTTTTGCTTTTGAAGATGTCTGAGCAAATAGCCCATAACTGTCTGGTTGCAAGCCCGGCTTGAAGTGGCCTTATCAAAAAACAATATAAATACTTGTAAATACGTACATGGCCCTATCCACTTTTGTGTATACCTTTATTGCTACGAGTGGCCTTGGACTTCTGTAAGCCCTTTTAAGAAATCGATTTCGCCCAAGCCCACAAATATGTTTGTATCGAGGTCGAAACTCTTGCTCAAAGTATGAAAAATTTATAAATATTACCCAAGTACGAACTCATGCCCAAGAATGTTTAAGCCGCATACCCCTAAGTATGCATACACAAATGTGGCAAGTGGGTAGAATCATGTTGGTATTTAACAAAAATAACCAAGTATCAGTTATTGACTGAAAGAAAGGTAGCTCCAATTGACAGACAAGGTAAATATTTGTGCAAGCCTATAAGTATGTCTGAAATAGTTATTTAGAAAACCTTAAATGTTAAGACGCTTCTCTCTCTTTTTTACTCCACCTATCACACGCTCTCTCTCCGTCTCTCCCTGCGTATCTCTAGCCGTTGAGTCGCAGCAGTCATGCAACAAAATAGAACTCATCAAAACTGCATAAAAGAAAACAACATGAGACTTCCATGTTTTTGTTAATTAAAATTGGCTTATCAGCAGCTAAGGCAACAACAACAACAATGTCCCAATTTTTGGCTAAAAAATTGTTTACAACGCATTTCCAAAGTTGTTACAAGACATGTCGTGTTGTAAATATTACATGCATATATGTGCTCGGTTTTTGGATTTAGATTTGGGTTTTCATTTTCGCATCCATTTGGATAACATGCGGATCAAATGGAAATCCACTCTTAAATATCACAACTGAATATTCACAGACACATAGAGTGAAAAACATTTCATTTACATGTAAAAATACCTTTTAATTTAAATTCTTTACTGAAATACATATTTTGTATACCTTCGTGCTGGTCATAAGGGTTTAATTCGCAGTTGCTCCAAAAAGTATGCTATACACAACTCTATGTTCAACTGTGGCATAGAAACAAATGCGAGGCTAATCTTCGGCTGCACCTGACTGAGGTTATTGCATATTTTCAGAAACTTATATATTAGTATTCGAGTGTGCTATGATTTCTGTCGTGTTTTATTCTAGCTTTAACGGGGTTCCGGTTATATTTTGCCACAGGGTATACAAGAACTTAGCTAGATCAAAATCACAAGAACGGTTATGAGCTGTTCGACTGCTTCCGAAACCAGCTTCATATATATTGAATATCTTAAAGTAAGGCTAGCCTGTTACTTATAGACAAAATACAATGTTAAGTATGTTGAGTCCTTGAGAGGAACTTGCAGCATGCCATTTACCTAGACATTGACTAATTTTTTATTTGGCAAGTGGCCACACAATTCTTGGGGAAGTTTGTCAAAAGGCAGGGGGTGTGGCAACGCCAACGCCAACGCCTCGTCCATTCGAAAAGCGATTTATGTGCTGCCAATAAATTTACTCAACACTTTGGCCCCCAACTAATACAATATTTACATCAAATCGTTGTAATACATGAGCCACTTGGTCGGGGAGGGGAACGAACGTCCAAAATAAAAAATAGCAGTGCGTCTTTTTATACCCTGAACCCATTAAAAATTTGGCAAAAAGGGTATAACGGTTTTGTGCAAAAAGTGTGTAACAACATGGAGTTACTTTTTCGATCCCACATATCCCGCTCAGCATCAACAGCGCCGTCCGTCCTTTCGTCCGTCTCACAATCCGTCTGTTCGTATTTCGCAACTACAAGTTAAAGTTGACAAAATGGTAGTATGTAGACTTTCTTTAAATATACAGAGATACATCTCTTTTTCCACCTTTCCGTTAGTTGTACAAAAACTCGTCTTTCGAGGTATGTCCTTAAGCTTTTGTATGTAGACAGTATTCTGTGCCATATTTAAACACTGCGAATAATATAAAGTATGTAAAAAGAACCTCGAAGTTATTTAAAACTCATTTCCCGCGGTTTGAAGTCAGGTGAAGAAGAAGCTCAACCGTAGCGTATATGAATAGGAGAGAACTAGAACGTTTGCAATGACTGCTAGACGCTAGGTTTAGGGTATCACCTAGTCGGGCTCTTCCGACTCGAGTACTCTTACTTGCTTCTGCTCCTTTGCTTGGGACTCGAAACGCGCAGGAAGAGTACCAAGGGTTCCGGCCGCCAGCGCCCCCTCCTAAGACTGTCATTTAAGTTAAAAGCGCATTTGTAAGTGCGCTGTTACCGTTCGATGTGAAGGATGTGTGCGTGTGTGTGTGTGTGTATGTGTGGGTTTTGCAGGAGAATGAATGGAAAGGTTTGGGCTAGACACTGTTGCTGGAAATTAAGGACTGGGTAAGTTAGACGCGGGTTGGGCTTGGGGTTCTGTGCACAGCGAGCTGGCTTTGGCCTGGGAGCCAATTTCAATCCCAGTGCGCTTTTTAAAAGCAAATCTGGCACAAGCTGCGCATTTCTTTGCGCATTTTATGTCTGTTGTGCAATGTTTTACCATTTTTCTTGGCCCCTGGCACTTTATGACGGCGTTAAGTGTTAAACGGCAAACGTTATGCCAAACCAAATCAAGCTCGGACAGACAGAAGCGATGACATCTTTTGCACTAGCCAACTCAAGCTTAATGTATATACTAAGATGATTTGGGCTCTTGGGAAATAGCAGTTTAATGTTGCTACTACACTTCAGGATATAATAAATTATAATGTGTAATATAATATAGTATTGCACCGAAATATAACTCTTTGTATGCGTATATATACATATATTTAATAATAATTTTGTATAATTTAAAGTTGTCTCTTCGCCCTTCTATGATATAATATAGCTTAACTATATTTGCCTTTACCTGTTTATTGCTATACCCTGTAGTACACATTGAAAGGATGAATCATTAAGTTTTGCAAATGTGAGAAATGTAAGAATACATCAATATAATTGAGCCAGCCTTATTTGAATGTATGACCGTAGAGGGTCGGATGTTGAAGACTTGGTCAAGTCGGTATTCTGAAGGTTTTTGGTACAGGGTATCTTCCGTTTTATCACTCCCGCGCATACTAATTGGTTTTGTCTATTTACGGGATTTGCTATTTGTTACTTTTACAATGCAATTAATTAGAAGTCCAACAATTATCGTTATTTCAGTGCACGTATTAAATGTACACACAGAAATGACAA